ACTCGTACTTCACTGTACTTCAATCGTACTTCACTGTACTTCAATCGCACTTCAAATTTTTTTTGAAGTAGATGAAGTCTCACTTTTTCCCCCTTGGTCAACTATTAAACTACTAGAGAATAGAAGCAAGCAAGGAGAGAAATATTATGAGAATCTCGACAGGTATATTCAGAGGAGAAAAACAAGTTATATACATTGGTTATCTTCATTTTCACCATTTGCTCGACAACAAGAGCATGTCATAAAAAAGAATGACGACTGCAAAGATATGGTTATCAAAGGCGACGATTTCAGTAATCAGTAAAATAGATCAAATTATCAGCAAGCTAAATAATTATAATACCAGTATATTCAATGATTTCCCAGTAAAATAATTGAGTTATCAGTAAATTGAATGAATGATCAGTATATTACTTAAATTTAGTGGCATATCTAGGGAGTGGCTAGGAAGGATGCCACTCTTCCAACAGCAAGAAGAAAAACTTAATAATTATCTTGAAATTTTTATAGTTTTTCTAGCATATTATATAGCTCTAGAAATTCACTTGGCGAGGAGTGAGTGCGCCTTTCAACTCTAATAGAGTATTACTTGAAAAAAAATATTCCTGTTCGAAAAGAAAAAGGTCCATATATGGATAGTAATCAGCAATTACTTACATCTATTATGAGTTTAGAGCAATACATAATACAAAAAGTGTAGAAGGTGTATAGGTAGCAGAGGCTGAATCGAATCGAAGTGTACTGATTCGATTCGGTTCATCTTGCTTTTCTAAAAAAACAGTTTGGGTTCTGTTCGGTTAGAGGGTATTTCAAAAAATCAGTTCAAGCTCGCTTCATGTTCAGTCTCTAATGTTAAACAATCGATCAAACATCATTTGATCATTGGCCAGACCATCACAATTTTACAAAAAAAACGTCATATCTCAAATGGATCATTTTTCTTATAAGTTTGTCTACATTCACTCGCTTTTCTAAAATTAATTTTGGTAGACTTAGTTCGAAATCATTTTTCAAGAAGTGGTTCGAGTTCGGTTCCTTTTCGGTCTCTGATTGATAATACAAGTTGTATAGAGGAAGTGGAAGTCTAATTCGCATTCGAAAAATAATTCAAATTTTGAAAATTTGATTAGCAACACTAGCGAAAATCTATCCACACCTATACCCAATCTACACACCACTATGTTTTTCGGAGCTTTTGTGGATTAAAGTTTTATTATGAAAGGAAATAATGTTTCTTTCTGTTTTGCTGTCAAAATATTGCATCAGACAGACTTTATGTTTTACTTATAAGTTTATTCCTTCAATTCGATTAGATTCAACTTTAAACTCACACAACTGTATCTATTTTGTGTATGATAAAGAAGTAACAAGTAGGTTTTGTCAAAACCGTGTCTCTCAATTATCTCGTTTTGTTGTATGTACGAACTCTAGTACGAAAGAATTTTTTATTGAAATGAATCTACTAATCCAAATATATTTATGGCTTAATGCTTCATTTTCTCCCAATCAAGTTGACGTTTTCTAATCACGTAGAAAAATTCAACTTACACTAAGTGAACTTCTTCATACTGAAAACAACTTGCTGCTTTCGTTTGAGAATAATTTAAGTGAATAGTTGTATTGAAGAAAGTTTTCCATATAGTTTGATAAAGAAGATAATCAATGGACAAACGAATATGCTCGAATCAAATAATACTATTCAATATATTGTTTTCGATTTGTTCGATCAATACGTAATATATTATCCAATAAATATCATTATACGAAATGGAAAACAACAATCACTGTTGATAATGGATCGTCTTTTTAAACGGATAAGAAAGTCTTGATAATTAACAGAATATCATTAGTTCATAGAAATTATCATCAATTACCTTTCTTTTAATCTTTTTCAGATCGATATATGTAAACGGCTGGAGCAAAAGTTTTGCATTGATTTTGTTTTTGATATAACTCTAAGATGCAATGTCGTAGAGGTTTGATTTTTTTTTTGTTAGAGAGAGCAAAGTGTCTAGTGCAAAAATATATAAAAGAATTTGATTGAAAAAGTCTTTCGAAGACTACAACAATCTTAGAACAAAAGGAATTGGAAAACTCTTGTGCAACTTTTTTTAAATTTAGAAAAATTTCCTTTAATTAGACAGGTTCTTTTTTTTATTCATCTAATCCAGATTTTATAATGTAAGAATAAAGCATTATTGCTTTACAAAAAAAAAAAGAAATTTTCTACATGTTTTATAACGGTCAAAATGAACGTTATGATATCATCTGAATCAACGATTTTTCACCAATGTCAATAGTAGTCAAAAACTAAATTCTGTTTTCCAAGGGAGGTTGCCAGAAGCTATATATTTTATATGAAAAAGAAAGGTTATTGAGTCCTCTACCAAACGATATTGTTTGGAATAGGACGTAACTTCTCTATGAGGTATTCAGACAAAAACTTGTTTTCGAACTGCAATACCAAATTCGAACAATTAATTTTTTTAAATCAAACTGTGTTTTGTATGTTGTACCAATTATCTTAATACCAAATGAAAGCCTTCGTTATAATGAACAATTGTTCTCTGGACTGAAAGTATAGGGTCTAGAAACCGAAATTCACCTATGTCTGTCTATGTGTCTGTAACACGTACGGTTACCATATGGTAACTATGATCGTTAAAATAATATATATTTCGAATGGCGCGCAAAGCTAATAAAATAAGATTTTCTTTATATACGATATTGAAAAAATCAAAACGAAGAACAAATCTGCAAGTTGTTTACTATTCAGTTGTTTTATAATAAATTATTACAATTTTTATAGTAAATCTGAACATATAAATAATTACGACAAATAATAAATGTTCATTATTTAGTTATTTTTATTTTATTGAATATAATTAATATAAAAAAAAATGAAATATTTATTTGACAAACAACATATTCTTCTGTATTATTTATAAATGAATTTAATAATTATTTCTATTTACATCGCCATGATGATATCGGTTGTGAACTTATAAGTGTATATAATATTTTTAAATTTTTAAATCAAAATAATTCAAACTCTTTTGAACTTAACATACTTTGTAATCATTTACAAAGTTTGGTATATTATTTAAAACTTGAAAGAAATATATTAACTGGTTCCTCGTCATAAAAAATACAGGTTTTTTCAATCACGATCATTGTGATTTACAAAAAAAAAATTTAATTTCAACAAAATCATTATAAAGAATAATAAATAATAAATAAAAACTTTAAATGAGTAATAAAACTAATTTACTGTATATATATATATATTAATAATTATTAAGTAATAATAGAAATAAAAACAAACAAAAGTTCCCATCAAACAACTCTTTGCATATATGCAATGTTCAAAATCATTGTTTGTGTATTCACATATATATTAATCTTACTTCATAAATATTTCTGTATTCGGTTTTTTATTAAGCTGTTCACTTGTAACTATAAAAATCAGCTTTTTATACACATGTAATACTTTATTCGGTCATATTTTCCTTATATAATAACAATTACATATCAATTTCTCAGTCTAGGGAAAAAAGTGAATCGATTCTCGATGAATGCTACTTGTATGTATCTGGTGCTCGAAAGTATCGAATGTGGATAATGAAAAAGCTCAAACAAATACTTTTGGATAAAAAAATGTGATCAAAATTGTGGAAGAGTTTTTCGAATCCTTGCGATCTATGATCACTGTGGCCTTTGAAAATTATTTCCAATCAAATTCTTTTATATATTTTTACACTAGACATATTGCTCTTTCTAACAAAAAACAATCAAGTCCCTACAACATTTCATCAGAGAGTTATATGAAAAACAAAATTCATGGAAAACTTTTGCCTCTGTCGTTATTTCTTTTATTTTCGGAGAAAAATAATTAAAACTTATTTCAGAGTTTATTTTCACTCAACAAATTTTTTTTTAATAGAATTTTTTAAAATTCATATCATTTCTTTTCTGAATTCGAGAAAAGTAATTAATCAGCATCTTTTAAGAAAACAATAAAATGTAATTTTTTTTTATTAGAATGAATCAACACACAACATCTGCTACAGATAAAACAACATTACAAACATCGTCTGTTATTCTATTAAAGACACATCGTATTAAAATAAACAAATTATCATCTAGTATTCGTATTACACAGGAACTTGTTGATCAATGTGTCGAACAAGAAAAAGCTTTAGCACTTGTTGTTAAAACATCAAAACTATCCAATAAAGTTGTATGGTTTAAAAATACTGCTCGTAATAAATATAATGAAACTGAGCGGATTTTTAATGATGATAAATTTCATTTAATCTCACAAACAACTGTACATATCCTCATTATATCAGCTGTTAAACTTGATGATACAGGAGAATATTTTTGTCGAATTGAAAATACATTAACATATGCAAAGATTGAAGTAATAAATGAAAAGTCAAATACTAATCAACAATTATCACGATCATTAATTAATAAATCGACATCATATGATTTTAATACATTTGAAGAGGAATTAAAATTAATTCATCCATTACCTGAACAAATACGCTTAGACAAAAATGATAAGTTAATCGTTTTTTGTGAAACCAATCGTAAACCAAATCATGTACAATGGTTCAAAAATGAATCAAGTCTTTCATCCATATCAAATAATTTGGAAACTTATTATTTCGATTCAATTTCAATATTAATTTTATATCATGTTAATGAAGAAGATTCAGGTTTATACACGTGTTATCTTGGAGATTATTGTAAAACGAGATGTACAGTACAAATTGATGATTCAAATTTGATCTATATAGATAAATCAATTGCTTGGGAAGAAATTATGGAACCAATTGAATGTATTCATTTAAAAATAAATAAAGCATTTATTTCATTTAAATGGTATCATCCGAATCCGAACGAAGAAAATCTATCATATTTAATTGATAATAAATTTAAAATAGTATCCGAAAGTTCAACACAAGAATTAGAGTTAATTAATACAAAAAAAACAAATTTAATTAAATATTTTTTATCTTTCCAATTGATAGACAAACAATACCAAATGATAATTATTGATTTAATAAAAATGAAAATAAATAATGATAATCAAGATTCTCTAATAAAATCTTTAAATTCAATTGAAACAAAACAAGTAACAGAAGGTAAATTATTTTTTTTAAAAAGCAGATTCTTCTTTTAGACAATCTAAAAAATGACTATATTTACGTATTAAATTTCAATTTAGTTCGTTTTTTTTTATTTTAGGTGATGATTTAATTATCGAAATAATTTTTCAACATGATCGTAATTTATTATTAAAAGATTATCTTATTTTATTAAAAAATAATGTTCCATTATATAATCACTTTGAAATTAATCCATCAGATGATACATCATCAGAATTAAGTCATTGGATTATTACTTTATCAGATATTAATTTAAATGATGAAGGTGTTTATTCGATCTGTATTAATCAAAACTTAAAACATTTATTTGTTTTATCGATTAAACCGTGTTGTTTACAACGCAAATCAATTATATTATCTAAAGATAAATTTAATTTGCACGAAAATTTAGAATTTATAATTCAATTGGAAGAACCATTATATGATACAAATAATAAATTAATGTGGTTTAAAAATGGTTATCCTATTGAATCATCAAATCAGCATATGATAAATACTATATGTTCAGTACCAAATCAATCAACAACACATAAATTAATTATTCAAGATATAACTTTTGCAGATCAAGGTTCAGATTTTTTGAATATATTTAAGTATTTATCTTTTCTTTGTTTTTTATTAGGTATTTATAGCTTATGTAATTCTAATGTTATTTTTGAAACATCATTTATTCATGTTTTTCGAATGCCTATTGAACCACCATCACTATTACATACAGTTATAAAAAGTTCTGATTATGAAATAAATCTTATTATTAAAAATTTATCTGATCAATATATATTGCTTTATAAAGGTAATCAAGCATTACAAGATTTAACTAAAATGATTACATATGTTGACAATGAAAAAATTCAATTAAAATTCAACAATATTAAATTATATGGTTATGAAATTTATCAAATTAATATAAATAATAATAATAATAATCAATGTACAACTGTTTGTTCATTTAATTTAATAGAACAACAAAAAGAAAAATGTTCAATCGACATCAATCAAAATATATTGAAGAAAGATGATTTAATTTTGGTATGCATTCAAAATAAAAATATCATTTTAAATGAAATCCAATTGCTCAAAAATATTCCACCATCAACTGAAACAGAAGAAATAAAGGTATGAAAGTGTTTTATTTAATAGAATATCTCGTATTTCTCCTTTATTTTATTCAATTGGATTTGATTGTATTCTTTTCAATTTATGGATAAATTAAAAAAAAAATAATTATTTCCATTTATCTTTAATATTCAATTTGAGATGATAAAAGATTTTCTTTCATTTCATTTTTAAAAATTTATTTTTTCTTCAATAATAAAAAAAATATTTCTTTATATTGACAAAGATTTCAATATTTATTAAATTTTAAAAAAATGCAACAAAGTAATTTTAATTGTGTTTTTATTAAATATGCTTTTATCTAATAAAAAAACTTAAAGATGAATTTGAAATTTAGTAGAAATCTTCAATAGTTTTCTATGAAATCTGTTTATAATCGCTGGTTGTTAAAGTTCTTTGATTATTTTGCCACATATTCCACACGACTAACTCAAATAATTTGTTTGTTTTTTGTTAGATTTCAACCAGAAAAGAACAGAATAAATATATGATTATGCCAAGATTATCAAAATTAAATAGTGTGTTTAATTTATTATTTTATTATCGTTGTGTGTCATCGGAAATAGAAATTGATTCAAAATTTTTTTATAACGGTAAAATTTATTTAAAATATAGAATTTTTTTTTAATAATTGAATATTTATTATAGATATACTGAAAAACTGTGATGTAATTGTGACGCAAGATATAGCAAATGTTTCAAGAACAACAATATCAACTGATTATTTATCAACATGCTATCTTATTTTAATGAGTTTCAATCTAGATCATCAGTGTTATGTGTACTTGAAACATCATTCAAGACTTATCACCAAAAACACTTCTGCACCAGAATTACTTTCAATGTTTTTTGAAGATATATGGATTGAAATAAACACTATATTATCAAAAAAATTTCGTTTATCAAATACATTTCGTGTGAATGATTTAAAAGATTTACAATTAGTGATTGGTGGAGGAACACATGCTTCTCGTGATGCAATTCGTAATGCATTCGCATTATTAATAAATCCAGATCAATCAATATTGGATATGATATTCAAGCATTGCAATATTGATTATCAATATTTAGTTAATCATTCGATAAATAAAATAATAATTATAAAATCAATTAAATGTGCTCAAACTAAAGAAGAACTTGAATTAATGCGTAGTGAGTTAATTATCTAAAAGAATTCTTTTTTTTTTAAATATGAAAATATAGTGTCTTTTAATAGATCATCCAAATGATGCAAATACCATCTTACCAGCTAATTTATGGGTTACATATAACTGTTCAACAAAAGAATGCATTTTCAGTGTTAGATGGACTTTTTCTGCAAATACAATTGATCTAGCTCTGATGAAGATTGATTTATTCAACTCAAAAGATTTAAATCAATTTGTATGGAAATTTCAAAATAAACATATTCAAATATTAAGACATAATTTTCGAAATCGATCAGATATTTTAGAAAAATTTGAAAAATGTTTTTTATATATAAATCAAAATTCATTATTTATTCCGTCAGTGATCGAGTGAGTTATTATCTAGATTTTCTTGATAAAAAAATTGAATAAATTCTTTTTTCATTTAGTTATTCGTTGGAACCTCGTAGTAATGATGATCCAGATGAAGACGAAGATGATGATGATGAAGATGAACTTGAACTTGAACATATTGATGGTTAAAATACAACAGATAATTAAACAAATATAAGAACTATAATCTCATGTTTTGTACACATGCCTTTCTTTCATTATGATTTTTGATTTATAAAAAAAATAAAATTTTATTAAAACAATGAAATGTTTTATTAAATTCAGAAATAATTCTAGTTCTCATTTAATCTTTTAAATTAAAATTAAATTGTAAAAAGAGATATTAATCAAATAAATATGAATTTTGTCAAATATATAATTAAAATTAAAATAATAATTAAATAATTATATTAGAATTTTTTTATTTGATAAACATTTAATAAAGAAATACAAATAAAAGAGAAAAGAAATTGTAGAACAGAATATTTAACATATCATAATATCATGACGAGAAAATTATATCCAAAGACGAAATCTAGATATTTCAATGTCAATCTTACTATGAGGAAAACATTTTTGAACCATACAACGGTATGATTTGACTTTGCTAGGATGAATTTTTCCATGAATATCAAGAAAAACCAATTGTTTTAATTGTTGAATTAATTGACAAAGATCTTTTTGAAAAATATTTACATGTTCAACTAAACAAAAAGAATTTATTTTTTCTTCTTAATCAATCTTTGTCTTTCTTTTTTATTTCCATACCAATCGATTGAGATGTTTGTAAAGATTTTATCCATCGTGAAACGTCAATAGAAGTCAAATGTCCTCGTGTTATATCTGGTCGAACTAAAATAAAAAGAGTACAATCAATTAATATAATGGACATGTCTGTCTTAATTATGTTTCTATTTTATAAAACAACAAATGATAATCATATTCTGTACTTTGAATTGGTTTGTTGTAGAATAGGAATATTTAACACATTCTCCACGATGAGACCCACTGGTGGGTCCCATTACTCTCTAACAAAAATTGGTCTCCCGAAATTTTGCTTTTTTTGAAAACAAAAATACACAACTAAAATAAACTTTACTTTCCAGATTGTAGAGCTTTTCACGCTGCGTCTTTTGATATATTTTGCTTTCCTAATAAAACATCTTTAGAACTTAAAATACGAAATGCAAAGTCCTGCCAGTCATTATGAGTTACCCGTTATCAGAGAATGGTGGGTCTCACTGATGGAACCCATCGCGTCGAATGTGTTAATCTCTTTCTCTAATTAATATAAGATCTAATTCTCATATTACATTGTTGGAAAAGCAATGCGAATTCAAGTCAAAAGGAAGGGATGAGTATACCTCGCTTCTCTTCTATATCCACGACTGATTTACAATAAAAGAACTTAATACGGCAAAAAAACAAGCAACGAGGTAAGGTGAAAAAATATATAAACAAGGATATTCTGTAGTTGATGATGAATGATAAGAGAAAATCGCTTATGAGACATCAAATGCAGTAAAGAAAAAAAGAGTTTACACAGTAGAATGAGAGAATTAATCAATCAATCCTTATCATTCATTAAAATGACATTTTTTTAAATTTGATTAAAATCTAATTTTCTTTTTGGCTTTGTCTTATATGAGTAGAAATGTGCAAGACTAAAAGATAAAAAAAAAACGTTATTCATATCAAACCAAAAATTATAATTAAATATTATTTTTAGATAGATTATGTCATCGTCTTGACTAATTAAAATAAAATTATGAACGAGAAAACTTTAAAACGTGCCATTTCTTGAGTAAATCAATTGAAAAAGATACTTAGACATATCTTAAAATAATCCTCTCAAAATCAGAATTGAGGACACACGAAAGGAAGTTATGAAAAAAAGAATTTCATTTTGCAGCAAAACAATAAAGAGAAATAACAATATAGAAATGCGAGAAGACAGAACATGCATCATTTAATAATTAACAATTTTTATCTAAGGAAAAGAATTAAATTACTTCTTCATTTTTCGATGAATTAGACGAAAAAAAAGCTATTTTATTTCTGATTTATATATACTGAAGAAAAGAAATTAGTTAGCAATAATATAAATGAGAATATGATTGTCTATCCTATTTCTATCTAAATTTAAAATTATTTTTCGACTTAATTCAATGAACAAATATAGTAATATTCGTATAGATAATATTAAAAATTTTCATATTTTCATGATGGAAAAGAAAAGTATCTCTTCCTAAAAATTAATTGACAAAATTAAAATAAATATTTTGATTGTCTATCTAAAATGCTAATAAAGAGAAAGAAGAATTTTCTCATCTCCTTTCAAAAGAATTATTGATGTTTGTTTGGATCATATTCCGAAGATTTTAAAGAACTCATGAAAAAAAAAGTAAATGTTATAAAAAATTCAATCGTATTATTGTTTATAGACGGCATCAAAATCGATCAAGAGTAGATAAAATGTCTCGTAATGCCTTCTTTCTTGAGATGCACATTTCTGGTTCTACACATCTTTTCTTCCTTTGTCTTTTGAAGCTTACTTCGCATATGTAGAAAAAACAATTTCAATCGTATAGTGTTGTCAATGAATGTATATCTTAAGCTAACCACTGTGAATTTTGATAAAGACTATTTTTGCATCATTGTTTCTCAAAGAAGGTAACATTAATAGACGACTATAAGTATCTGATCTTAGAATGTAGGACACAATAAAAAATTTTTTAACTTACAAACATAAAAAGACATTTTTCATATTCTTGCTCAACAGAGCGATGAATTTTTCAGCAGTACCTCCGATCCACAGATTGGCGATTCCAGGCAATTGAAGAAATTCAAGGAGTTCAAGGAAATGAAACAATTTAAGAAAGTCAGAAGAAATCAAGGCAATTCAAGGAATTCAGTGTTACCGTATAAGTTACAGATATAAACCTTAATGCTACCATACAAGTCAAAGAATTCGAGAAAATCAAGAAAACTCAAGCCAATAGTACGAAGTTCCCAACCACATCAAACAGCGTGAGGATATGAGCGAAGTATCCGATATCATGAGACAGTGGATGAGGCTGGTAGGGGAATAACTTCTAATTATTGCAAAAAAATTATGGTGGTTATTCGAAGCATTTGTGTGTCTCGAAAGAACTGATAGGTAGCACGTGCAATATCCAAACAGATGTCCTATCATTCATCAGCACTTCATTGATGGAACCACAAAAACTGTGTTTTTATTCACATTTCTCAATGTTGGTTATTCCTCGGAGATTTGCTCAATGGTCCAATTTCGGCCTGTTACAAAACTGAAATTTTTCCCTTCCCTTCATAACTGACAGGATAATGCGCTCGGCAACAGCAGTACATAGGAAACAATCTTTCAACCAGTATTGTGTTAACCTCTCGAATCATTGACTAACGCCTGTACTTAGTACCGCATCTAAATAAAGTTCAACTTAATTTTTTCCGAAAAGAGGCTGCATTTTTCAGTGACGTAAGAACTAAACAGTAAGAATCGAAGCCGTCTATACAAAAAAGCGACGTTCTGCCTGTTGTCAGACCGCCATGGCTGAGTGGTGAAGTTGTTCGACACACACTATCAAGGTACTGTGTTCGAACCTCGGTACTACCCACCCTGGAATGACTTTAGACAAGTCACTAACGGCTGTCTGTCTCGGATTACCCGTACGATAGCATACTGACTACATTGTGACATACACCGGCTTTTATAGCTAGTATGTAGTTAGTCAGTGTGTATGAAGGACTCAAATGAGCGAAAGAATTCTGAGTCAGATCAGCCTTCTGTCCAGAGCTACAACTAGAAATAGTGGTAGAAAAAGATATTGGGCTAATGAAAATGTCCTCGAACATCAACCTATACTGAAAGGTAGCCGAAAGGCAGGATATTCTTCTTCTTCTTCTTCTGCCTATCGTCTCGTTTTCATTCATTAAATTTATCTGCTAAATTAGCTTTATTCTCATTGCCATAACAACCGCCAAAGCTATTCATTTCAACGCACTAAACACAGTCTTTCAATTTTCTGATTTCTATACCATTTGCTTCAATTTATTCTACTTCCTGAGGATTAAAACTGCGAATTTCAAAACTATTTAAAGTCTTCAATAACTTGAATTCTAAGATAGTTCGAATCTATAGATATCTCAGTTCTTCATCTGTCTTAAATTTCTTTAATTCCTACATTCATCTTCATTTTCCTTCATTTGCTACAATTCCTTGATTTTCGTCATTTCTAAGGGAGATAGACCCTAGGGATATCCTTCCATTCCTACATTCTCCTTGAATTGCGAATTCGTGGATCGTAGGTATATCTCGAATTTTTAAGATTACTATGCGTAAAAAAATTCCCTACACTTACAAAATTCTACTTCTTGATACTAAATAGATGTTTATCTAAAATAAACTTACTAGAAGTCCAAGGAAAATCATCTGGTCGCCAAAGACGTAATATTTGTAAATAAGGCGTATGAGTAGTGAGAAACGGTACAAGATTTTTGCCAATATGGATCGATTTATTGGAACCAGAATTACAACTAGGAATACCAACTTCAACACATCGAACAGTACTCAATGCATCTTTTTTTAGAGCATCCGATGCCTAAAAAAAAGGAAAGAAAAAAATGTGTTTACACATTTATACAAAATTATGAATAATAGAAAACTGGTTGATTAAATAAATTAAATATATAATAACATAAAGAGTAAGAATTGAACAATTCTATAATTTCTGTAACTATTTCAACGATTGTTTTTTTTTTATTCAAATACTAAAAGCTGATTTTGTTTGATTGTAATAAAAGTTTAATTCTCTTGAATGATGAGATATGTAGAAATTAGTTTTATTTCAAACGGTAACTTATTTATTGGTAAGCTATCAGGGCCCATATGACTCACATTTTTGTTACCAGATTCTACAGTCATTCATGTATCCGATTCATAGTTTGCTGCAAAAACTTTTATACTGCAATATAGGCATCAAGAAATTCTATATTTAATTTACAATCAAATGAGATTCCTCTTTTTAGAAGTAATTTCTCTAAACTTGATTTTTAGCCTGAAAACGTTTTGCTTGTGGAGCCCTCTTTAATTTTTGTTGAACTGTTGGTTTTGTCATTTGAAATAAAAAACATATTTTCACAAAGACATTAGACGCCAAGTCAGATTAGATTGATTTGAAACGATTCTGAGACTCAACTTGACTAAAATTTTTTTTTCATTTAGATTGTTCCACGTATAAAAACTGTGAGATATATAAGTATTTTGATCTTAATATTTTCTTTCTTTTTATTATCAAACTAAAGTACAAGAAGATGTTTTATTTTAATATGATGTATAGTCACCATTTGCTTCAATTAAGCACTGTACTCGTCTGTCCATACTATCGACCAATTTGACAGCTAAGTCAACTGGCAGGCCTTTCCGTGTCTTTCTTATTTCTTGTTCCAACTCTTGAATTGTTTGAATGTTTTTTTTACCTATTGTATCCTTCATTATCGACTAAACGTTCTCAATAGGGTTTTGATCAGGTGATGCAGATGGCCAAGGCAGAACTT